TAAGCATCTACGGTACTCCGCAAGATTTACTTTGTTTGTTTCTAATCGAAGAGTGTGTATCTAAAGCTTAAATTTACTAAAAGAAATGAATGAATTAATATTTACAAACAAAAGAAATGTTTTTTATTATTGTACACGCTGCGAACCTTTGTACCTACGTACTCCTTTCATGCAATAAGAGATCAGGACACTCGTAGTTCTTCTCAAAAAGAAAAAAAACTTGATGTGTTGATTGATTTTAAAAGAAGAGACAATTCGTCATTTTTAAGGAGAAAACTCGTCTAATCTCCCATAAGGTATAAGAAAGAAAGACTACGCACCAACATGAAGGAGGGTTTGAGAACACCTCTAATACTCAAGTGGAAAAGTCAAAAACCATGGGGATAGAGGAATAACATCTCGATTATAAATGAATCATGTCTAATTTTGAAAAAGGTTTTAAATGGGAAAGTTGCACAATGACACAAAAAGGTTTGAATGAAGTTGAATATTTTTTAATCTTTAAAAAAAGATTTGTGATTTGAATCACACAAAAGACTATGAATGGAATGAAGGACAAGCTTCGGGAATGGACCCACTTATCCTTCTCCACTTCTTAAGGCTTATGGAAGTGCGATTTTCATCATTATTCATTAAGTGTTTTGAGAAGTTTGAAGAAGAAAAGAAGTTTGAAAAAAAGGCGTTTGAAAAAATCAAGGTTTATTATGAAAGCGATTCGAATTAGAAAACAAAGAAGGTTTTGAAAAAATAAGAGAAGGTTTTAAAAATTGAAGAATGGGGTAGGAGATGAAGAGAGTATCTTATGTACAAGAAGGTAAAAGATAAGGTAAGAAAGGTCTGACCAAACGGAAGCTTATACTTGATATAAATAAATCAATATAGCATTCCCATCCCTTGGGATTAAAGCCACATGCAGATAAATAAATCAAAAGTATACCAAACCTCAGGTGAAAATAAATCACAAGCATACATCAAAGAAACTCAAGGCATCAGATAATACTCAAAGCAATGGATAAAACTCATCAGGTAAAAATAAATCACATGCCAGGAAAGTGTACCAGGTAGCTCAAGGTGTTGGATAAGAATTCATGTATCAAATGAAGTTTCCAACAAACATACAAAACCAAGGTAACAGAGAAACAATCCGAACATCTCATGTGAAATAAAGAATCAAGTACAAATGGATTAGGAACCTGTATCCAAGCTAAATGAAACAAATGAAATATGAAATGGATGTTTAATTAATTAACTTAAAAGTTGATTAATTTAATTAATTAAGTTAATAAAAATTAAATAGCCAAAACAAATTAATTTGTAATGATGAAATTAACTAACTAAATCGACTTTTAGTTAATTAAATAAAAGCAACAAGGTAGCGTTGAGATAAAGTGAACACTTGAGTTACTTGAAAGCTATACAAACCATAAACAAGGTTAGTTATCACAAGTGAATTGAAACCAAATGAAATTTTCATGAACGTAATATGAATAATTGAATATTTCTCAATTAAGATTCAAGGAAACAAGTTATTATTCAATGTAAATGGAAAAAATCAGCATTCCAATTACTATGCTAAACACATTCAAAGTCAAGCAAACACAACGGTAAACATTGTTTTCAATCATAAATGAAACGAGAGTCAAGAATTCATGCTATTATCAATGACATGCTCAAAAAATCAGCAAAGCATACATGGGTTTAAACATGTTCAATCATGTAAACTCGAGAATAATCATGATTTTCAAAACACAAATGAAACAATTGTTAAACATTCACGTTGCAATATGAAAATTCGAATTTAAAGTAAGCTTTAAATCATTAAACCAAATCACGGGCAGCAACTACACAAATTTTTTATCGCACAATAAAAGCCGACTCAAATATGAACAACAATCCAAGGAAACAACAAACATGTTATAACCGATTTAAACACAAATGAAACCATAATGTCATCACTATCTCTTTCAAATTGGTTCAAACATCATGACAAAACAATCAAAATTAGCATAGATCAAAGTAATGCCATGGAATCGACATAAACCAAATCGAAGGCTTCAAATGTATGCGTCCATACGGTTTTCGAAATCTAAATTGAATTCAAGCTTCGAAATCGCAATGCAATAGAAAAGGTAACATAATACGCACATCGATCATCACACTTTAATCAAAATCAAAACAAACATACTAACGTGATGCCGATTTCAATCAAATTCAAAACAAAGTAACATGATAACAAACTTCCACATATACCAATTAAAGGCAATCTCACATGATAATTCAAAAGATCCCGACGCAACCTAAACATACACTTCAAACATAATTCTATCACAATTTTCGCAGCATAACATTTTAATTGAGCCTATCCAAACAAAGTAGCATAATGAAACTTCAACAAAAACCATGGTGTAATACGGTGGGAGAACTGATTGGTTTTGCATTTTATCACAAATGTGCTGATAGAAAGAATGGTCACCCACTTTTATTTTATCCAATAAGGAAATGGTGAAAAGAACAGGAAAGACTTTCGAGATTTTTGAGTTTAGGGAGTAGATTATGAAAAGGGAAGGTGTTAAAACTCTTTTCATCTGTAGTTATCTATCGGCTCTTAATCGCTAGCTCACTTTATTATTTTTTAAAAATGTTTTGTGTTGTGTGTTTGAAAATATTTTGAAAAAAATGCCATAGTGAGACAGACTTTGTAATAATTCTTGTATCAGTCCTCAAGAATGCGTGTAGAGTGTTTTGAAAATATGTGTTGCTTTGAAAGTGTGATGTGAAAAAAAAAATATTTTGAAATGTTTGTGAGCAAGTGATTAACAGCGGTCTACCTACTCAAGATCTTTCTTGTAATTTCATTTCCTTTAGATAGTACTATCATACCATTAGTTAGTAGGAAGCCCTATCGTTGGATGTGAAGGGACATGCGTGGGTCATCGTACAGTCATAGAAGACAACTGGTAAGGACGCTTTAGCAATTATCGTTAAGGGACTAGATCGTTTACTGAAGTTAAAATCAAAAGGGTCATTGAGGGATTACGATCTTTGTTTTAGAGGGACTTTGCATGGTTTTGGGAGAAGTACAAAAATAATAACAGTGCGGGAAAGTAAAAGCAGAAAATAAAATCCTAGACTATTACATGGCTTTGGGAGAAGTAAAAGAATAATAACAGTGCGGGAAAGTAAACCTAATTACTATTACAAACTGTGAGCAATTACAATAATCGTAAAACATACGAGAATAATAAACCACGCAAAAATGTAAAATAGGAAAAAGGAAAGCGAAAGGGTTTTTTGGTGATTCTTTCGGAAAAAAGGTTTTAATGATTATTAACCCTAAAATTCAATTTATTTTAATTAATTAAGAAAAGAATTGATTAATTAAATTAAAAACCTAAAAAAACCTAAATTGATTGATTAAATAAAATAAAACTAAACCCTAATTTTGATTAGGGTTTGTAAAAGTTTTTAAGAAAAATTTAACTTGTTGAAAAAAGTTTTTGGTTTGGTGAATTTAGGGTTTGTAAGGTAATAGTGATAAGAAAACAAGGCTTTAAAAAATAATTACCAGGGTTGGGTGTTGAACCCACGCCCTTAGCCCTTTTAGCCAGCATGCTCACCACTGCGCCAGACGCGCTTTGGTGTTAGAGAATGAAAACAAACGCGTTTTGTAAACTGCAAGAACCTGAAAATGTGAAAAACAAAACAAAATACCAAAAGGCAAGGATCGAACCCACGCCTTGGTATAACAATACCTTAACGCGCGTGCCTTTTCCACTGGGGTGACCATACGTCCAGTTATATTCCTGAGACAAAATATACATAAAATAAAAATGTTGCATGGACCGGAGAGGCGTCGGAGTTATAACTCTGGTCGTCTTCTCCGATAGCCTCTTTTACTCAACCTGCGAAATAACAGATATAGCAAACAATGGATACCCTACCCTTCTAAATTAAGGCATGCGTATTCAATTGGATGATTATTTTGGACTGAAACACAATGGTTTATGAGCTATGTCTAGCATACATGGAATCGGTGCAATCATGGTGATGCACGATTCCGTCAGCATGGGACGCCTGCGATGGTCCGGTCCTGCACTAATGAACCTCAAAAACGCATCAATATAGTTAGTTTGCAATGAAACATGAAGGAAACAAAAATATGAGATTTGCAAAAAAGATATGGAACGACCATGTATATGTGTAGGTTATAGAGGTTCTGGATCATTGTGTTTGATCCATTCTTACTCTGTAGGATTGATGGAAGTGAATGAGCAAGTTTGAACGCCTTAGGAACGGCTGCAAGCTAGGGTTTCAAGTTGCTCTAGTTTGATAATTTTTGTGATTTTTTGGAGGTGATTTCTAGCACAGGGATTCATGCCTAGCTTGTCTGATTTGAGGAGAATATATAGCATGGAATTAGGTCAACACATTATGGGCTTGGACTCTTGTAATGAATGAGCTTTGTCTAATCTTATTTTATTTTGACCTTTAAATGAATAAAAATCAAAACTAAAATATAATAAATCAAAGGGAGGTGTATGAATAAGTCTTGAGGTGCATATGGAGTATAAAACACATTGGACTCTAAAACAATAGTCCATTAGCCAAAAAAATCAAGTTTGCTCAATTTAAACTTCATGCATTTGCTCAATATTTCCCAACTTGCACTGGTAATAACTATCTCAATTTTCACCATTTAAAGGTGATCTTCGACTTTTTGGAAATATCAATATGTCCTCTATAATCTCTATGTTAACCATTTTTGCATTTAAAGATTTTATCTTGATGTAAATTGCCTTGACAAAAAGTGTCTTTTTGTTGACTTTTGAAATGACCTATAATGTATTGGTCAATATCTCTCAAATGAAGCATTTTTTGGACTTGAACTTAGAGAGACAAATTTGTATGGAATTAAATTTCCTTCATAATGATCTTTGGTTGAGGTAAATCTGATGAAACATGTGAAAGTTAGGCTTGGTCAGAGTTCAGTTGATTTCTCCTTAAGAAAATCCTAATTTTGTAACTTTTGACTTTTGATAATTTGAGCATTTTCCTTGATGAATCATGATAAACCCTTGATCAAATGATGAATTTGACTTCAAAATGTTGATTTTGACCAAAAATCTTGATGTTTGACTGTATGTTGACCATAGTTGACTTTTTGTCCAATATAGTTGACTTTCAGTCATCTAAGTCATTGACTGACAAACTTGTGATGTAAAGCATGAAACTTAGTATGAGCATTCTTAGAGACATATAAGATACCATGAAATCCACTTGAGACCTTAAAACCCAATCTTCCATGATAAACACAAGTTGTAGGCCATTACTTAGGAGGAGGGTTCATCTGATCAATTCTTGAGTAGTCTTGAATACTTGAGCACCTTGAATCAATTTATCTTTGAAAAATGAGAGGGCAAATTTTAAATATAACACATGACAATGTAAAAAAAAAAAAGCTTATTTAAGCTCAAACAACATAGCAGTAACATATAATACCTCATCATCAACAATCACCATTTAACCTTAAGAACAAACTTATCACATCTAACCCAACAAATCCAGCAGAATGAATACAAATACAACAATAACTGAAATCAGATTCGAGATCTTACCGAACATGTTGTGGAGATTGTCGCAAACAGAAACTTGTTGCGGCAAAAGTGATGATGATGTTGAGCCGCATAGTTGCATTGAAGATGTTAACGGAAGGACATGTTGCAGATGACTAGAGGAAACAAGGTGTGATTATGTAGTGTGGGCGTGAATGACCGATTTGGAAGCTGAGAACAACAGTTGCACTAAAGAATCTTCGGATGAAATTTTGGAGTTCAGTGTGGGTAACAGAAGTGTGCGCTTGGATTGGTTGATGGAAGTTCACGAGAGGGATAGTGATACCTGTTTGGTGTCGTTGAAGAGAGTATGGGAGGTAGATGATTGATGAGCGAAAGAATGAATAGCCACTTGTGAAGTATGGGCGGAGAGGCAATATATCGTGGAAGAGGATGAAAAGGAAATGGTTTTTTTACTGATAATGCAATCTCTGCCTCTCTTTTGATCCAACCTTCTTGTTATAATAATCCAAACAGTCTTATCCAAACACAATTAGGTCATGTGAAAAGACCAACAAAACCCTTGCTCAAGATAGTTCTCTAATTTAAACAAAATAAACAGTATATTTCTATAACACATTTTTTATAACAATTCTAAAACTAAAACTAAATATTAATTAAAGTAAATAAAATAAAAAATGAAACAAATAATTTTTGTATATACATTTTTTTATAAATTTAAAAATTGCAACAAAATTAAAAGCTAAATAAAAAATAGAAATAAAACACACACATATTATTAATTTTGATATTTTTATTAAATGAAAATAATACTAAAAACAAAACTAAGTTATTATCATTATAAAAGAAACAAAAAAAAATCTAAAATAAAAAGTTGAATTAGACACAAATGCAAATGTGCGTAAAATACAAAGATGTGAATGAAAATTAAATTTTATGATTTTTGGACATAAATAAAGGCGAATGAGAAAACTCAGGGTAAAATTTGGGGTGCAACAGTATGGGGCCTAAACCATTATCCTCTTGCATATATAGTTAAGTAGAATAAACAAATTTAGAGCAGGAGGATCTATCATTATCATCCTCAATGTGATTGAAAGGTTCAAGAATCAGAATGTTTGATCTATCTAAGTCAACTAGTTGAGTGGTGTTGTCATTCTAAAATCTATCAATGGTAGGGGTGTCCAAAGCATCTTCAGCCATCTTCTCATTGACATTGGGGGATGGTCTATATGTGGTTGGATCAACATTTTTGGTAATGTTTGTTGTATCTAGTTATTTTTGTTTGTAGGCTTCATCTTGTTTTCTATGATCTTTGACAACTTGAAAAGTTTTTTTAGCGATTTCTTTGACTTGTTCATTATGATTACCTGCATTGGGTTTCTTACATTTGGAAGGAGAATGCCCAATACAATTATAATGGCTGCAGAACTCGAGTAGATTTTCATAATCTAAATCCACAAAAAAAATCCATCTCTTTCAATAAGAACTCGATAAACAAGGGTCTTCTTGAGATCAACATCCACAAGTACCCTAACAAAATGTCCAAATTCTTTATAAAACTTAGGTTTGTTGGTGAACTGATCCACACAAATAGGAATTCAACCACTTGCTTCCAATATCAAACAATATTTGAGGCCTCTAGTATTCTTAAGAAAAACAAAAAATTTTGATCCAAACCTGAGATGAAGATTGAGGCTGCACAATAGGGTTGAAATCTTTGGTCCAAGCAAAAAGCTTTAAAAATCCAAGGTTGAGATTCCAAGATGCGATAGACCTAATCTGCTGAGAATGTTAATGAGATAAAAAAGATAACTCATAGAATACTTTTCAAAGAAAGGTGATGCCCCATTTTCCAAGAGAGCTCTAGAGAGGGTAATAATTTGCTATGCAAGGCACCAACTTTTAGAAGAGTTGTACCTTTAGGCCAAATGATACATGCATGTAGGTTGTGTTTGTAAGCTTCTAGTCTGACTTGATATTCATTTCCCAGTGTAATGATAGCCACCATATCACCTTTTAGTACAAGTTGAGGAAGTTGTGAGGTAGGAATGGAACAAACATTGGTCACCGACTCATCAAAAGTTTTTACCAGTTTTAGAGTTGGCATGTGTTGAAGATTTCTCGATAGTTGTTGATAGACATGCCCAAGGAATAATGATGAATGGTTTTGTTTTTGGCGTCGTTGCCGGGGACTGATTTAGTCAATACTATAAATCCTTTGTTATGCAGTATAGACTAAGGCAACCAATTTTATTTTATTGTTATCCGTTGATTGTATGCCAAGCACTCGCTCTAAAAGAGAAGAATTAGAGCAACCAATCGACGAGGTCGAGCGTTTTGTTAATATAAGACGCTGAATTAGATAGTACCAAACCAAGTACAATCTTCCCAAATTCAATCTTCCTTACTATTCTCTTCCTGGCCCAAGAATGGCTGAAGGATCCAAAAATCGTCCTCTGAAGGATTATGCCTCCCCATCACAAGAGGAACCCCACAATAGTATTGCTGCTCCCGCCATCGCACGGAACAATTTCGAGTTAAAACCTTCGTTATTGCAAGCTGTCCAATAAAACTAATTCTCAGGATGTCCTACGGACGATCCAAATCTCCATTCGCCTATGTTTGTACAATACGCAAACATAGTGAAAGCAAATGGTATCAGCCTTGAAGCAATAATACTTCATCTTTTTCCTTTCTCATTACGAGATAGAGCTAGAGCATGGCTCCAGTCTCTACCATCCAACTCTATTACCACATGGATCAAATTGAAGAAAGTTTTCCTAGCACGATATTTTCCGCTGAGTAAGACGACTATGCTAATAGCCAATATCAACGATTTTAAACAAAAGGAACGCAAATCTATTTTTGAAGCATGGGAAAGATACAAAGACATGTTGCAACTCTGTCTGCATCATGGTCTAGAAGAATGGTTGATCATCCACACCTTTTACAATTGTCTCTTGTACAACACAAGACTAACGATTGACGCAACTACTGGTGGTACACTGATGGATAAACCATACCATGATGCCTATCAACTTATTGAAATTATGGTTCAAAATCATTTTTAGTGGGGAAGCGATAAAACCATGATGGAGGAACCTCAAACGAAAGGCGGTATGCATGAAGTTAGTAGCTTAGACAAAGTTAACTCTAAGGTAGAAGCCCTTGCCCAAAAGATAGAAAGCTTGACCACAACTCTCGGAGCCACCACGGTGGCAGTAGCTCCAACCTGTGATTTATGCGGACTTCACACGCATGCTGCACCCGAATGTCCACTATTAACAGGAGTACCAGTTGATCAAGTGAACTATGCTCAAGGAAACCCCTATGGCAATAACTAAAACCCTGATTGGAAGAACCATCCAAACTTCTCATACAAAAGAAACAATTATTTGTACGCACCAGGGCAAGCTATTACTACACCCCAAGAATTTCAAAAAGCCACCCAAAATATCTCTAATATTCCAAATATCCCTAGGAAATCCAACATTTAAATAATAATAGAAAACTTCGTAGTAACCAAAGCTCAAATTAATAAATATTTCATGAATCAAAACATTCACACCAGTGAGCAAATCAAGCAACTGAAGAATAAGATTGACTCTCTTGCCACATACAATAAAATGTTAGAAACACAAATCTCTCAAGTGGCTCAACAGCAAGCAGCTCCAGCTGCTCCATCTAGAACTTTTCCTAGACAACCCCAACCAAATCCAAAGGGACATGCTAATTCCATAACACTTTAGAGTGGGACAGAACTAGTCAGACCAACTGAACCTAGAGTCGAGAACCCAGTCATGTACCAAAACATGGAAAAGGAACTGAGAAGGAAGCTAAACCAAAGGAAGTAGAAAAAGAAGGTAATGAAGAGGCCATGGAAAAATAAGAACCTTATGTGACTCCGCCACCCTATAAACCACCTATTCCATATCCTCAAATATTTGCTAAGTCTAAATATGTAGGTGTTGTACCCCAAAATTTGCCCTCTCATGTTTTCCAAGGTCTTCCCCTACATGGTTGACCACAAACCTTTTCCTAAAGAAAAGGAAAATTTGAGAGTGATGTTTTTAAGTTTCCTTCGATTGACATCTCAAAAGCGCCTTCCAATTGGCATCTACAAAATTCCTTTCGATTGGCATCTCCAAAATGCCTTTCGATTAGCATCTGCATAGCGCTCTTCGATTGACATGGAGAAAGGTCCTTCGATGGGTCTGTTAACAAGGCCTTTTGATTGAAATTTTAACAATGTCTTTCAATTGGCATCCGAACAAAGGCGTCTTCGATTGGCATTTTAACGTCACTTCGATTGGTCCAAACTGAAGGAAATCGTAGAGAGCAGAACGAAGTCTAAGCAAGGCACTTTGATCGGTATGGACAAAGGCTCTTCGATTGGCATTCCAAAAGGTCCTTCGACTAGAACTTCAGAGTATCCCTTGACTGGAACTTCAGAGTGTCCTTCGACTAGAACCTCCGAGTTTCCCTCAATCAGAACATCAGAATAAAATAACCTTCAAATGGCATTTCAGTGTAGAGTTTGTCTTGATCTAAGATGCTCTGATGAAGGAAGTTCTGAACACTTTGAATCAGAACATAGACTCATCACAAAGCCA